ATTAGAAGTCTATAACAGAAGAAAATCTGGAAAATTCACAAATTTATGGAAATTAAACAACACACTCTTAAACAAACAACCAATATTGAAGAATTCACAGGAAAATTAGAAATACCTTTAGACAAATGAAAACAAAAACACATCATACCAAACTTATGTGTTGCAGCACAGGCAGTGCTAAAGATTTATAGCCATAAACGAACACACTTTAAAAAAAGAAAGAAAGAAAAATGTCAGATTAATAAAGCCATGCTATACCTTAATAAACTAGAAGATGAAAAGAACACTAAACCCAAAGGAAGTAAATAGGAAAAATGAGAACAGAGATACATAAATTAAAGAACAACCAAACAACAGGGAAAATCAATAAGACCAAAAGTTACTTCCTTGAAAAGGTCAACAAAACGACAAAACATTGGGCAGATTAAGGAAAAAAAGGTGAAGACTCAAATAGCTAAAATCAGAAAAGAAAAACAATGGGGCAGTACTACTGATTTTACAGAAATAAAGAGGACTTAAGAGAATACGATGAATAATGGTATATATCATAATGCATAATCCAGATGAAAATGGACAAATTCTGACATATACACAACGTGTCAAGTCAAATCATAAAGAAATATAAAATCTGAATAGCTCTACAAGGAATAAGGAGATTGAATCAGTAATCTATAAGCTCACAACAAAGAAAAGTCCGGAACCAGAAGGCTTTCCTGGTGAATTATTTACCAAACCTTCGCTAACTCTTCCAAATAATTGAAAAGAGAGAACACTTCCTAACTCAATGTATGAAGGTAGCATTACTCTGGTATAAATGCTATGCAAAGACACTATAAGAAAAAAAGTACAGGGTAATATCTCTCATCTTACAGTGAGGCAAAAATCCGCAAAAAAATTTTTTAGCAAACCAAATTCAGCAAAATATTAAAAAGGATACAACATGACCAAGCGTGATTTATTCCCAGATGCAAGGATTGTTCAACGTATGAAAATCAATGTGACATACCACATTAACAGAATAAAGAAAAAAATACATGAACATCTCAACTGATGCACAAAAGGCATTTCACAAAATTCAACTCCCTTTCATGACAAAAACAGCCAATAGAAGAAACTCTCTCAAGTTGATAAAGGCAATTTATTTATGGAAAACCTAGAGCTAATATCATATTCAATCATAAAAGGCCAAAGGCTTTTCCTTAAGAACAGTAACAAGACAAAGATACTTTCTCTACTTCTAATCAACATAATATTGGATATTCTAGCCTGTACAAATAGATAAAAAGAAATAAAAGACATACAAATGGGAAAGGAAGAAGTAAAATGTTTCTGTTCACAGATGATATAAACTTACATATAAAAATCTCTAAATTTCACCAAAAAAAAACCCCTTGTTAGAGCTAATGAACAAATTTAGAAAATTACAGGCTATAACATCAACACTCAAAAATCAGTTGCATTTTAATCAGTGAAAATGAACGTGCTTCAAAAGAAATTAATATAGCTATTGCATTTAAAATACCATCAAAAAATAAAATATTTATGAAAAAATTTACCTAAGCAGACAAAACATGTGCAAACTAAAGGCTATAAAAAACGGTCAAAGAAACTAAAGAACATCAACATAAATGGAGAGGCATCCCATGTTCACGGACTATAGAGCATACTGTGTTCCACAGGTGTCTTGCATTGTGGTATCATAAAATCCTGGGATCAGGAAGAGAGCGTTACACGGTGTGGTCCTGCAGAGAAACTTTTTCAAGTGTTCCTGTGCAAATCCCGTCCACACCTACATGAAAAGGGTCATGAGACAGTATATGGATAGAAGATATAGCAGACAAGATTTGTAGGGATGTCCAAGATATGTCAGGTACAGTTAAGCAACAAGTTCAAGAAAGCTCAAGCTTTGATATGAAAAAATTCACAGCATCTTATGCTGAGAAGGACATCTACAGGAAAATCAGAGGCATGTGGAGAGAGATGTTAGCTGCAATCAGCAGCAATATTGCTTCATGCTGCAAATCCATGACTAATCCGACATCACTGGTAAAGAAATTAAGCTTCCCTGTATGATTTTTTAAAAGGGAGGATGGGGAGCCTTTACTCCCATTGCCAAGTGTGCTTTAGGCAAAACAGCAGGAGTAAAAAGACAAATTCCAGAAGTTAGAATGAAAAAACAGTGCTGATACAGGGAAAGGAGTCAGGTAGGTACATCAGGGCAAAGAAGAGAGAGTATTGAATGAAAGTCCCCATGGCACCAAGGAATGTGGGTCAAGAAAAGACATGAGGGTCAGGGACCAAGACTCAGAGTGGAGGTTACAGTCAGCCAGGTCCTTAGCTTGGTGGCATGGAGGACTGGGAAGCAGAATGCAGGTTGCCTTAGGTCTGAGAATCCCATCATGTCCTCAGCAAGGCTTGGAATTCCCCTTGAGGAGTCCACAGGTCCTGTGGAGCAGGGGGCGGGGGACGAGGTGGGAGGTTCCAGAGAGGCTTGTACCTAAGCCTAGAGCCAAGGTAAAGTAATGCAAGAGGGCTTGAATTCAGACATGGAGGCGTCAGTGGCCCCAGCCCCAAGAGAGGTGACTACTTAAACTCTAGCAGCGACAGAAGCAGATGGCAGGGGAAGTAACAGAAGCATCTGGCTCTTGCTGAGCCCTTCCTGCTCCTCTCAGCTATTACCATTAGGCTTGTCACAAGGAAACATTTCCATCATAAGAATCTCCCTAGTGGTTCTCATAGCAGCCTCTGGTGTCTCTGCACAAAGAACACCATCCATCTAGACATCCCTTCATTCATTTACTGTGTAACTGTCAATTCTCGGAGCAGCTACTATACCCCAGGCACCATGTGGAGATGGAGGGTAGAACAAGGGCTGGGAAGCCAGTGGGAGGTGACACAGCTGTGGAGCCAGCAGGTACCCCACAAGCATTGGGGTGAGCAAAATGATGAAGGAGGGACCATCCAAACACCTGGATTTGAAGGGAGTTTTCCATTCTCCAAAGACCACACTGTAACAGGTTGTGAATTTCAGGCAAGCCTGGATTAGTGACCTCGGTGTCATCCCAGCTCTCTTGTTCCTATGGTGGCCACAGAGAAGGGATCCTCATGAGAGGCGGGGTCTTCAGAGCCTGCTGTCACATTAGACAGGACAAGAGGGTGGGCTGGAAGGGCCAGGTGGCTTCGGAGCTGCTAAGTCTGTCCCCCCATAGTGTCAGTGATGGGCACTCCTCCTTATTGGCTGATGTCCCCCTGCTCTTCTGCAGTTGACTCTGAGTCCTTTCTGGGAGAGAAGGCCTTTTAGGGAAAAAAAGGAAAAAAGATTCATGTTAGCTTCTCCTATCTCCTTCCAAGCCTGGGAATACTGAATGATGGATGAACAGAATTATTACTATTTTTCACCTGGGACAATTCAGGCCACCATGTCCTTGGCCTCCCAGTACAACTAGAAACACCCATTGTACATCTCCACATCTGCTTCAAATATTAAACACCTCAACAAACCTCACCTGTGCTAAGGATTAGGGCCTTCCAGAAAATAGGACTCTTTCTGGGTCTGATAGCCTAAAACTTCTTCCTTCTTGCTCTTTCAGCCCACACCACACTCCCTGTACACACTGCACCTGGTTGCAAAAGATGTGCACTGGGGTTAGGGCCCAGGTAACATCCCTCTGAGACAGCAGGTGCCAAAAAACATATCAAGTGGGTCGTTTCATCACAAAACGTGAGTCAACAGGTGGATGAGAGAAGAGGTGAATCATGTCTGACAGGTGAGGAATCACCCAGCAGCCCCAGAGGATCCCATTTCCTTGAGGCAGGGCTTGTTCCCTGCATAAAAGGCCAGTTGGCGCGGACACCACACCACATCCCAGCGACCTCACAGCCTGCTCGTCTCTGCACACCAGGTGAGTCTCTTTACTTGGGACTTTCTACCTTTCGTTCTAGGCGTTTGGTTATTAGAGCCTCATTGGCATTACCAATGTCTTCTTTCCCTCCTTAGGGAAATTCAGTCATAGCCATAGAGACCGTACATTGGAATTACAGCCTCTAGGAATGTCTTTGTTTTAAAAGTTACCATGGTGTGGGCTTCAAGGGACGTTAGGCATTATTGGATCTGCCCTATTCACTCCTGCTGTGTCAGTGAGAGGGGACTGGCTTCCGTAAGGATTCAAAGTGAGTTAGGAACAGAGAAACCAAGTCCATAAATATTTTTATTCATAATTTTAATACAGAGAATTTTATTCTCTCAAAAATTTCTTTTGTGAGAATTTACCATATTGGGCACTTTGGCTGTGAAGAAATAATTTAGGCAGCACGAAACTTACTACAAAAACTATAATTTTTTCAGGAGAATAGGAGTTAAAATACAATATAGTAAGTTATATAATACAATATTGTAAGTTATCAGTGCCGGGTCACAAGGGCAAGTGTGATAGCAATTTGAGGAGACAGAGGAGATTTCTGGAAACTCACTCTAGAAAAGCTACCAACACTACGACATGAAATGATCTGTGTTGGTTGGGTGGTATCTGAACAAGCGGAAATGAGAAAAGCTTTGGAGACAGAAGAGCACGTGAGCCAGGCTAGAAGTAGGATCATGTGGAGTTCTAGAGTGCTCCAAGTTATCCTGTAGGTGATAAGCCGTGCCATTTATCAGAAATAAGTAAGTGAATTGAAGTTTTGGGTTTATTCCCCAAATAACATCACATTTCCAAAGGATCCAATATTGTGAGTTTCATGTTCCTGCTAGGAGCCGGTGCTATGTTGCTAATTTGGTATTACAGTGTGTAGAAAGAAGGAGAACACAAAAGAGGCCCGGCTTAAGTGGAGCAGAGCAAATCATCTTTAAGTGGATTCTCTTCAAAGGTTTAGAAATCATCAAAATATTCTTTGAGGTAGAAAGAATATTCTCTTTGAAGACACGTGAAGTGGCTTTGTTTCTTCCCTAGTTAATCCTCCTTTAAACCATCTATTCTGTCTCTAGGACCAACCACCGCTGAAGCATGAGTTCCCAGCAGCAGAAGCAGCCCTGCGCCCCACCGCCTCAGCCTGAGCAGCAGCAGGTGAAACAGCCTTGCCAGCCTCCACCCCAGGAGCCCTGCTACCCCAAGGTGCCTGAGCCCTGCCACCCCAAGGTGCCTGAGCCCTGCCACCCCAAGGTGCCTGAGCCCTGCCACCCCAAGGTGCCTGAGCCCTGCCACCCCAAGGTGCCTGAGCCCTGCCACCCCAAGGTGCCTGAGCCCTGCCACCCCAAGGTGCCTGAGCCCTGCCACCCCAAGGTGCCTGAGCCCTGCCACCCCAAGATGCCTGAGCCCTGCCACCCCAAGGTGCCTGAGCCCTGCCCCTCAACGGTTACTCCAACACCAGCCCAGCAGAAGACAAAGCAGAAGTGACGTGGTCCACACCATGCCCTTGAGGAGATGACCCCTGGATGCTGAGCCCTCATCACACTCTGCTTTTGAGTCCCATTTGTCTGTTGACTTTGCAATGAGCATGCTGTCACCCAAAAACATGTGCTATGAGGCTTCCCTCCCTACATACTCTGAGCCTCTCAATTAAGCTGAAGTACTTCATACCAGAGCTAGTTTTCAGCTGCTCAGAATTCATCTGAGGAGGGACTTGAGGTGGAAACAAGTGATTCAGCTCTATTATGTCCCTCCTTATTAAATTCACTTTCAGTTCCACTCCTGACTGTGTGTCATGGACTCTATAACTTCGTTCCTTTCCCATATGATGCAAGAGCTATGTACGGAGATGGTTGGGTGAGGAAGGGCTTTGTCCACAAGGCGTCTAATCCTGCACCAGCTGGGTAGGGGTGCTTCCCCCAGCGAGCATTTTGGGCTGCCAGGGAGAGGTTGTGCAATGCCACTCAGAGGCTGCTGCTTTTACATCCAGGACTAGAGCCAGGCTCTCCTCCTGCCACTCCGTGAGTCATGCCAGAGTTTAGTTAGCACCTGTCCAAGCTGACTCTGACCTGCTCACCCTAAATACCCTGCCCCACAATCTGGCTTCCAGACTGCTGATTTATTCAAACAATTCCTGTTTATTTCAAGAAGTGGTGTTCCTACCTATGCAAATCTACTCTTTCTCGCTCATTTCTTCATCATACCCACAACGCAGATTTCCAAATGCACGCAAACACTCACTCACTCACAGACTCCTCCTCTTATCTCAGGCTTTTCCAGTCTGAGGCCAGAAAGGAGATCAGGAGGATTGACAGTGCTCTCCAGGGCCATTTGCAGTATTCTAGAGGGATGGCCCACCCTGGGCCAGAAAGGAGATCAGGAGGATTGACAGTGCTCTCCAGGGGCATTTGCAGTATTCTAGAGGGATGGCCCACCCTGGGCCAGAAAGGAGATCAGGAGGCTTGACAGTGCTCTCCAGGGGCATTTGCAGTATTCTAGAGGGGTGCATTTCACTCCCCACTCTGCCCCTCATTCAAACACACATTCACCCACACAAACTAGCTGTGGAGCCTTCACAGAGTAACACAAAGTCTGATCCATGTTGGAAACTGTTTCTTTCATGTAGTGTGAACCACAAGAAGTGAGGACTCAAAAACCCATCCCCAGTCATCTTCCTAGAGCATCAAAATGAATAGGGTGAAAAGAAATGAGATAGAATTATGAACAGTGTATTTATATGTATGTACATACACTTGTATAAATGGTATGTTCCTTTTTAATATTACAGAGAGACAAAGAAAATTGTGCTACAGCAGTATAAGAGAAATTTTTCTTAGGTTAGAAAATGAAATAATGAAAAATACTATGAACCTTTGGAATAGCTCAAGACATTGGGATACTTTTGATCATGATGTTTTTACCTGATTGTGTTTTTTAAAATTATGAAGTCTATTGAAAAATGTTTACTGTAAAAATCTTATTATTCTAAGGGATTTTATTGTTTAATTGGTAGGTAAAATCTACTCTCACCATAAATGGTGCCTTCTAGCACCAAAACCAATTAACCAACCAAGCAAAAATGTGTTCTAATCATGCTATTAATTTATTGGTCAGCACAGCTTAGCTTCTACTAAAAACACCCCCTACATTGTTGTGTCTCACGCATGTGCTAGTCTTACGTGGCTTAGTAAGGTCTCTGTTCCATGCAGTCATAAAAAGACCCAGGCTCTTCCTCTCATATGGTCTTATCATTTTTTAGCACCTTGTCTTCCTCTAAGTTCAGGGACAAGAGAAGAGAAATAGACTGTATGGAGAAGGTAGTGCTGCACTTACCCACCTGAAAGCAGAAATGATATACATCCTTTGGTTCTTATTGTCTTCATAGAACCTGGTCACATGACACTATCTACCTTACAAAGTCAAGGAATGTAGTTTACCAGTGTGCCAAAAAGAAAGAGGAAAACACAGATTTGGTAAGGTCTTCAACATTCTCCCATAGTCTATCCTTTTGGTTTTCAAATATCCATTCACTCCTTCTGTCTCATAAGCAGACCACAAATCCCCAAGGAAGAAACTCCATAATCCCACCCAGCTCAAAATCTAGGGTTTCTGGATCACATGAAATTGTCTCTCTCATGTCTTCATATGGCTCCTATTGGTTCAGTAGATTACGAAATAAACCAAAATGGACCGTTTCTCTCTGTCACCCAGCATCCAACGGCAGTGCAGGCACAAGAAAACTAAATAACTTCCTGAGTATAGTTGTTCTCAGTTATGGGCTTATACAAAAGGAGATATAACAAGTAATTTATCAGCCACCTTAGTATAAATTACTAGAGAGGCTAAAATATTGTGACACAATAAAAGTCTCTAAATTCCCTTAGTAAATTGTTCACAATGCTTATGTATGCTACAAATCTACCACTAAACCCAAGAATATGGTAGTTCAACACTTGTAGATGAATTAATTTTGTAGCCTTGCCTTTGACATTTTGGTGTTCACACTAATGTTGCTTAGGAGGTTTTAAAGGGTTGATGAGTGCCCCTTTACCTCCAGTCCTGTCTTGCCTGAAACATTTAATTGGTTTTAAGCCATTTGGATGCTTCAGGCCTCTTTGCCACAAGGGTTCCACGGAGGGACTGGATGGACCCTGGGCAGGTAGTCTCACATTACCCTCGCTATAGGAGGGCAGGTAGGACAAAATAAGAGTTTGGCCATGGATGCTGCCTCTGCCAGATCATGGCCCAAAAAGGGATTTATGAACTAACGTAAAATCTTAAGGCTTCCCCACTACCCTCCACCACCAGCTGATAGAATGGACCCCCTCTTGGCCAAGGGGATATCCTAAAATTAAATTGCATGCCAGGAGGAGGGAGGTCAGACATGCTTCATCATGCCCCGTCCCCCTTCTTGGAGATATCCTTTGCAACTTATTAACAACTGTAAGGCTATGCAAAACAAACCTTCAGGTTCACAATTTACAAAACAAATATATGTCCTGTTAACTTGTCTCTGATTTACAGCTTTTAGACAAAACTTCATGTCTTTAACCTATTATAAGTCAAAGAATCTTTTAACCCACCTATAACCTGTAAGTATTCCCACTTAGAAATTGCCCACCTTTTCTGGCCAAACCAATGTACGCCTTCCATATATTGATTTATGACTTTACCTTAACCCCTGTCTCCCTGAGAAGTATAAAGCCAAACTGTAACTCAACCACAGTGAGTCCACCTGCTCAAGGCTTCTTGGGCGTGGCTTGGGGTCATGGTTCTCAAATTTGGCTCAGAATAAATCTCTTTAAAATTAAATAATAATAATAATGAAATAAAAGAGCTTTATTTAGATTGAAATCACATACCATAAAATTCACACTTTCACAGTGTACATTCAGTCAGTAGTCCTTAGTGTTAGGTCTGGAGCTAAGAGAGACACATGAAGCCTCATGTGTAGCAAAATGCTATTTATTTTGAGTATTGGTGTGCAGATGGGAGGAGGCTGAAAAAGCCATCCATGAGAGAAAAGGGGAGAGCCTTGGATTTTATAGAAGGTTTTCTGGGGAGACTAAATAAATTCTTTTCAAAAAACCAGGATGGATAAGGAAAGTAAGCTCCCCTCTTGCATTCCATTCCTTTCTGTCCCTAGGGTTCTGGGAAACACTACACTACTCTACTTGCCTAATACACCTCTAGGAAGAGGAGAGGGGTGGGCTTTATAGGAGGTTTGGATGGAAGTTTAGGGGTGAATTCTGTAAGCCTAACTATAGTCACAGGTGTACAATCATCATCACAATCTAGGTTTAAAATATTTCAATCACCTCCCCCCAAAACTCATATCCATCTGTTGTCAATCCATGCTCTCCCTCCTTCAAGCCTCTGGCAATCACTACTCTACTTTCTGTCTGTACAGATTTACCCATTCTGCATATTTCATATAAATTGTATTATCCAATTTGTGTTCCTTTGTGTTTGCCTTCTTTAACTTAGGATAATAAATACATAAAATAAAGTAAATTGTAGCATATATCAGTATTTCGTTCCTTTTTATTGCCAAATAACACTTCAGTGGTATGGACATACAACATTTTGATTATCTATTCATCAGTCAATGGACACTTGGGTTGTTTCCATTTTTTGACTATTATGAATAATGCTGCTATGAACTTTAATGTGCAAGTTTTATGTAAACATATACTTGCAATTCTCCTAGATGTGTACTTATGAATAGAATTGCTAGGTCATATGGTAACTCTGTTTCATTTTTGTGGAAATGTAAATATATTCCAAAATGGCTGCACCATTTTATATTTCCAACAGCAATGTAGGAGGGCTTAATTTCCCACCAATCTCATTAAGTCTTGATACTATCTGTTGCTACATGTCTTTTTTACTATAGCTATCCTGGTGGATTTGAAGTGGTACTTCATTATAGTTTTAATTCGCATTTCCTGATGACTAATAATGGTAAACACCTTTTCACGTGCTTATGATTCATTTGTAGGATTTATTTGGAAAAACATATATTCAAATCCTTTTCCCATTTCTAATTGGGTTATTTTTCATTCTATTGTTAAGTTGTAAGAGTTCTTTCCATAATCTGATACAAGTATATGAAGTTATATAATTTAACATATAATCGTATTTCCTATATTAGTTATGCCCAAGCCACTCTCTGGCTGGAGTAAACATGATGGTGGTGATCGTGGTGGTGGTGATGAAGATGGAGATGGAGATAATGAAGATTCACTGAAGCCAATAAACCGCCATTACCATAAATTGAGTGCTAAGTGTGTACCAGGCATTACGTCAAGCAAATAAAATATATTAATTTAATTTTATACCTAAGACAAGTTTGTGATACAAATATTATTATCCTCACTTTATAGAAGAGAGATTGAAATTCTAAGAAGTTCAACAACTTGTTCCCCAAATCAAACATTGTAGATAAGTAAATTAACATAGGTTTGAAATGGTATGGAAATCATTTTTTATATGACACAAAATTCACATAACACTGATTGTGAGAGTGTGGCCCTGGGGATCAGAGAGAGACAGAAATAAACTAAATGATGATATAATATTGCTAACAAAGCCGGTGTGAAGGGAAAGAAAATAGTTACTGCATCACACATCTGTGTATATTTATATGTATTTATTCAGGAAGTAAAAGAAAAAGTGCAATTGCCCAAGTGGTAGATATTCCTGCCCAGGTGACAGATACACACAGAAGCCAATGATAGAATCCTCCGATGTCACCCAGGGAGAGAGCCGCCATGCTTCCGTCTGAAGGTCTGGGGAGCTGGCACAGCTGAGGACTTCCTTCCTCTGTAACTGCCTGAACACGAACAGGATGACAGCCTCAGGAAGGACAACTTGCTATCAGGAACCATCACAGCCATATTACAGGATAATGGTGGAGAAGCTTCTTCTGTATCCGTGAGGGGCTTTGAAGAGAACGATCCTGAAGGTGGAGCTTTGGAAATGGGAGAGCCAATTGTCCTTCTCCTTTCACGGTCCTGATGCATCCTCAAGCTGTTACTTGCTCTTGGGTGGACACTTCTGCTGGCAAGGAGCAGGAGGCTGCACAGGAGGGCACTTCTGCTGGCACTGCACAGGTGGGCAGGGCTCAGGCACCTTTGGGGATGGGCAGGGCTCAGGGCACTTTGGGGGTGGGCAGGGCTCAGGGCACTTTGGGGGTGGGCAGGGCTCAGGGACCTTTGGGGGTGGGCACACAGGAGGTGGCTGGCAGGGCTGCTTGCACTGCTGCTGTTGATAAGACATCTTTCTGGAGTCTCAGAGTCTGAAAGAAATTAAATGACAGTGTTCACAAGAAGATACTCCTACAGAGAGGGGCCAAAGCCTATGTAATACTGTGGTATATTAGTTCCCTAATCTTTAAGAATATACTTTAAGATGTTAACTCCGTTTCTATGTCTCTGTGGCTTCTCCCTTCCACGTTAGCAAATTGCTTCATCAGCCCTGGGAAAATCATGTCTTTTCTCATACCAGTTTTCAAAAAAAAAAATGTCTGTTATAAAGAACCAAGGAATGTTGTTCACATGAAAATTACATCTTCAAAAACACATTCACAAGTTCAGAAATGCTGGGCAATGACACAAGCAATTTCTATCATCACGATTTCTTATAAAGTCCCAATAGGCAGCCTTGGTCTCAGAGCAAAAGGCTGTTCAGAAAGAATTCAAGGATCTCATGCCTGCTAACACATAAGCATTTGAAAGGGACATGAACAAGATACAGAAAAGAGAAAAATACTCTGTTATTTTCTTTTCTTCTAAATCAAAACTGAACCTTTTAAGTTCTTTATCCATATGGACATCGAACTAGGTACAGAAAAAAAAACCACAAGCTGAAATGGTATATCACTGTGCTCTAATCCTAAGCTTCCATCGACTAAGTAGCATCAAACCCATGATCCTAACTTTGGATCCACCAGACTGGTGGTCTTCAGACTAAAGTCAACATTTGAGAGCACCAAAAAACAGAGAAACACAAGAAATCAAACTCACCAGCTTCTCCACAGTAGATGGGACTCGAGCACCAAGAGTTTGGCAGTTGGGCAGAAAGGGCCTTTTTATAAGGCTCGCTTCCCCACCCAGGGGAAAATGCCATTGCCTAAAACTGGACTGGTCCAATAACTTCCTAGAAACATGCAAATTTCTCCATAACGCTCTCAACATAGGAAATATCCTGTTCCAGGATTTCCTCCTGGGTTAAGCCCTCCTGACTCACACAGGCCCTGCCTTGGCTCTCAGTTTTGGTGACTATTCACAGGGGGAGAAATGGGGGGATTCTCTAACTTGTGGTCAAAGGCTCTCTTTCTTGACAGGGGACAATGGTCTCTTCCTATCTTATACCTTCCCTGATCACACAGCTGCTTGTCTTATTCCTCTTTAACTGACTGTCATACTGTTTTACATAAACCCATCTCCTCCTCTGCTCTCCTCATACAATCTGCCAATGTGCGAGAAGGAACAGGAGACTGAAAAAAGCCCGTGTTCTGGCCCCACTTCTATCTTTCACAGACTGTGTGACCACAGGCAGGTCACCTTCCGCCCTGGGTTTGAGTCTTTCTCTATGAACAGGAGAGAAGAAGGCCTGCCTGTCAAGGTGGGGGCTGCCTGCACTGGGCAATCACTTCCCCCTGTCCAAGTCTGGAAAATTATCCTCCTCCTCCAGCCCTCTTCCTTAGAATCCAATATTTGACTTGTAGTCCTTGCCTCCTTGAGGCTGTCTTCTCTGTCCTATTTGTAGAGGCAGGACTCTCCCAGGACACTTTCCACAGTCAGATCCAGTCTCCCCAGCACTTTTCCTCCCTTCTTCACTCAAGCGTGTATGCTGGAGCCATTTTATTTAAAAAAGATTTAATCTTAGTCACTACATTAAGCAAATGGGGAGAAGTGAACACAAATCACAAGCATTCACTCAAAACCCATTGACTAAACCAGGCCTATGTGATTCCCACCAACGTTCCCTAGAGTAGAGAGCAAGATGCAAACTCTCACACCACCACATGAGAATAATTAAGAGTAGGAATCGGGAAGGGACAGGGTCAGAGCACTTCAAGTCTGAATCTGGGAGAGGATCTGACTTTAGGCCTATTCTATATGCTTGCTTCTGCCCACTCTCTTTCCAAACACGTTTTAGGTCTTTGAAATAAAATATTTTAAATTTCTTTGCAGGCGTATTGTCTGTTTTCTTGATTAGCCCTCCAGCCCCTCAGCCTGCTGCATTATCCTCTCACCTCCCAGCGTGTACTTCTTCTCCGTCCAATTTGGTGCATGCTGGGGACTCAAGACATAAGTCATCAATGCATTTAGTGATATTGCTTTCAAATCTTTTTTAAATGTTCCTGCAATCCATGGGGCTGACTACATATGTGCATTGTTTTGATTGATGTTGCTAGAGCTTCTTTGTCTGAGCCAAATGCTCAGGAAGCTTTCCAAGAATGTGATTTCATAATTAGAGAAGGAAAAAGAAAAGAAGAATGAGGAAGAAGAGGACGGGAAAATAGAGAAACTCAAAAGCTTTGAGCAGTCACCAGCCGTGCTTCAGAAGGTACAAGAGTGCTGAATCCACCCAGCATCACTTCCCTCAGTCAGGCAGGTTAGTTTCCCAGAACTGCCACAGCGCCTGCCAGGAAGGAAGGGCTTTGGGCTAACATCACCAGTGGCCATGACCCTGCAAGGATGGAACCATCACTTCAGCTCTTGAAGTGATGTTTCCATCACGTCAAAAAACCAGGTGTTTACAAATAGTGACATGACCAAGTGATTAATATAGACTGTTACACATGCCATGCACTTCAGAGGCAAAATAAAGGGACTTTAATCAGTATGTCACTTACTACTCCCTATATCCTCATTTGACTTTAAAACATAAACCCTTAGAGAAATGTCTGATTTCTGCCATCCAAAATTTGAAAATAAGCTACCCAAAGACAATCACAGTGATCAGTGTCAGATAACACAATTTTGGTCACACCTTGAGACTCTCCTTATAAGGATCCCCACTCAAAAAGACTTCTTATTGTGACAGTGAAGGCACAAAAGTCATAGCAGCACTAGTGCCCCCAGCATTCTAGACAGGAGCGGCTTAATAGATTGTGGTGGTGAACTTGAACACTTAGAATTCCTCAGGGATCAGTCAGGCGAAGAACTGCCCCTAGATGAGGAAAGGCCCCTATCAATCAGTTTCTCAAGTTTGAACATCAAAAACCTGAGACCTGAAACACAGCACACTTTATGTTCTCTCTTTTTTTTTTTTTTTTTTTTTTGAGACAGAGTCTCACTTTGTTGCCCGGGCTAGAGTGAGTGCCGTGGCGTCAGCCTAGCTCACAGCAACCTCAATCTCCTGGGCTCGAGTGATCCTTCTGCCTCAGCCTCCCGGGTAGTTGGGACTACAGGCATGCGCCACCATGCCCGGCTAATTTTTTTATATATATATCAGTTGGCCAATTAATTCCTTTCTATTTATAGTAGAGACGGGGTCTCGCTCAGGCTGGTTTTGAACTCCTGACCTTGAGCAATCCGCCCGCCTCGGCCTCCCAAGAGCTAGGATTACAGGCGTGAGCCACAGCGCCCGGCCTATGTTCTCTTTTAAGGAGAAGAAAAACAAAAACACCTGATTTCAATAAGGTGGGAAAAAATAATAAGATGGGCTCATCTTGATACTCATCCAGTGAGAATGAGAGTTAATCGAGGCAGAAAGTTAGAACAAAATATAGAAACAAGATAATTGAAATGTTCCTAGTTATATCCATGCACAGAAACCTTTCTCTGAATGCTGTTAAATACAAAAATAAATCTGAATACAAAAAAACCAAAAATGTTGATTGTTAGTTTGAAAAAAATTGACATTTGTAAATATTTAGTACTATTTATGAAAAAACTCAATCCAATGTGTAATTTAGTTTAATGTTACTAGGGTTTAGCTGTTTAAAACAATAGTCATCTCTCATTTAAAGATCACATTCCAGCCAGTCATGGTTGCTCACACCTGTCATCCTAGCACTCTGGGAGGCCCAGGAAGGAGGATTGCTTGAGGTCAGGAGTTTGAGACCAGCCTGAGCAAGAGCGAGAACCGGTCTCTACTACAAAAAATAGACAGAAATTAATTGGCCAACTAAAAACATATAGAAAAAATTAGCCAGGCATGGTAGCCCATGCCTGTAGTCCCACCTATTTGGGAGGCTAAGGCAGAAGGATTGCTTGAGCCCCGGAGTTTGAGGTTGCTGTGAGCTAGGCTGACTCCATGGCACTCTAGCCCTAGCAACAGAGTGAGACTCTGTCTCAATAAATAAACAAAGATCACATTCCTTCTCATTTAAAGATCACATCCCTTCTAGTGGTAGTTTACCCTAATTTAGGGTTAAGTCCTTATAAGGAAGTGAATAGCCCATCTGCTATCAAAAGATCAGTAGGAAAATAGAAGACTTGAGCAAAAGTAAAAACCAACTGGCAGGAGATGAGGCAAGATGACTGACTAGAGACATCCTTTGCCAGACCGTCCAAGAGAAAAGGAAGAGTTTGGGATAAGGGAAATGGAAGAGTGCATACAGCACAGGAAAATCTCAGTGACAGAAGAACTGGAGACTAATGGGGACCTCATGGAGGAAAACTGCAAAAGCAGAAAAGGAAGAGAATAAAGGAAAAATAGATATCAGCAAGGTCTAAACTCAGGGAGGCTCAGAGCCCAGTGAAGGGATAAGGGGGAACCCCTTCCTTCCTCTCACAATTCTTTCAGTGATCAGTGGGCTACCTAGTTAGTGAGAAGCTTTTCATCCCCCACAAGTCCCAGCACTGTGACAGCCACAGAATAATGGGGAGATCTTGTGTGATCCCAGAGCTTGGATAGTCTATGCAGGGTTTCTCTCCAAGGACAGTGATCCAAGAGGCCACAGAGCATGTTTTCTTCCATTCAGAGTCTTAGCTCTCCCACCCTAACCCACTGCAATCAGAACAATTATTTGAGCTAAGAATATGGCAATTGGTCCCTTCCCCACACTTGGTGTACCCTACAGCCTGAAGTTTCTACAGAGACTGGGGTCCATACCTCCCCCCTTGGTGACCTGCAGGGGACCTAGGACTCCCAATCTGGAAGCTCCCTGCCCACCAGCATTTTGTGGTGATACACAGCAGTGGGGCAGACATGCAGGTTGAATTCTGTGTCCCCAGGACTCACATGGGTGGCTGGGGGACATGGGAAGGTGGACCTTTAAAGCAGGTCATGAAAGAAGGAAGCCCACATGAGCAGAACTGATGGGACAAA